TCAAGGTGTGGCCTCACCAGCACCGAGTGCAGGGGCAGAATCACCTCCTGGTCCTGCTGACCACACTGTTCCTGATCCAGGCCAAGATGCCTTTGGCCTTCTTGGCCACCTGAGCACACTGCTGGCTCACTGATGTTCCCATGCCCCATTCCATTATTATCCCTTCTTATCTACTGTTATCTATTGTTTGTGTGAGGAGAACCCACCAGGACACCCATTGTGGGGGATTTATAGCCAAACTCAGCGCTCCGAGTCAGGCCGGGCTGGCAGAGAGCCCTACCAGGTTGGAAAAGACCTCTAAGATCATCAAATCCAACCCTACTGTGGTCACTAGACCATGGCACTAAGTGCCACATCCAGTCTCAGCTTGAAAACCTCCAGGGATGGTGAATCCACCACCTCCCTGGGCAGCACATTCCAATGCCTGAGCACTCTCTCTGGAAAAAAGCTCTTCCTAATATCCAACCTAACCCTCCCCTGGCAGAGCTTGAGTCTGTGCCCTCTTGTCCTAATGCCAGGGGCAAGTGGAATCAACCCAGTCCAAACCAATGGGAGATGTAGCACTAGATTTTACTGAGAGAACTTGGACACTGACACGTGTTGGCGTTAAATATCTCAGTACAAAATATGTTGCCTGCCCAGTAAAGCTCCAGGCAGAGCTTCCCTCCCTCCCAGCGTGGGTACCAGAGCTGCTTATGGAGGAATTGTGCCTTTTCAGGGCAAATATGCCAATAAAACATCACCAGGAGTTGGAATTTCAGACACAGACTTTAAAATAAATTAATCAGGAAAGCTACAACTGGCAGAGGTTTAACTCACGCTCTGTCACAGGGGCTTGGTTGTATTGAAAATACAAGTATTTCACATCCAGCAGAGTTAGGGATGAAGTTACAAACCTTCCTGGACCACAGCAGTGTTGGCAGGACTGAACTCCTGAGCAGCCTCACCAGTACTGGCTGTAACTTACTGGTCTTCCAGCAAGGAATAATGTCACTTTGCGGTGTGTAGTTTTTCTAAAGTGACTAAAATGAGTTCTGTCTTGGTTGGAGAAATGATCTGAACAGATTCAGGCTGCGACAGAGGATGACTGAGGTGCTCCCTGTAGATTCACCAGGAGCCAGGACTACTCCAAGTCAGTTTTCCTCTGTGCTCAGGTACCAGCCTGGAGCATTTCCCATTAACATCTAGGCTATGTGTAGTATCTCCTAGATTTTATGCCCTAATATGTTCATGGCATTTGTATGTCAAACCAAAATATTTCCAGCTGTTTGAAGAAAAACCACATTGTAATTACAAACTTTGAGTAAAGTCCTCAGGAAATAATGAAGGGTGAGATATCATAAGTTACAGAACATTGTGCAGCTAAATTTAAGGAGAGACTTTACATGCCTGAATAGAAAAGAATAAAAAATGGAAAAATACATTTATCTGACTTATACAGACGTTATAAAATAAGAAACCAGACAGATAATAACATCATTTTGCTCTAATACACAGCAAACATTCCTGCCCAACCTAGTGTGATGACATCTCCAGGCAGGATCTGAGCAGAGAAGAAAGAACAGATTCAACTCTACAAATCTTCTTCTGTTGTGTGGATCTTCACCTGTCAAAAGTGCAGCAGCACCTGGGGAACCCCCAGGAGGAGTTCTGAGGGGTGGAATTGGTGTCACTGAGCTACTTTTGCCCTCCTGGGCTGCCACGAGCTACAGGAGCAATATCAAAATGGAGAAGGTGTGAAAACACTGAGGTGTCTCATTCCATCATTGCCCTGAACTGCTGTATGTACTGACACAGCTCCTGGGCTTGAGCCTGAAGTTCCCTCGTGGCATCTGCACTGGGATATTGTATTGCAGCATTTTTGGTGGCTAGAGCCAAGCTCTTCAGGAGGCTGCAGAACCTGCTGCTGCTGTGGAGAACATCATTCCTGGCCTCTCTTTCCTGGGTTTCCTGGCAGAGAGAATCCACTAACTTCTGCCCCACCATGATGATGAGTTTGCTGTGGGATATGAAGACCTCAGGAGGCTGATTGTGGTTCAGGCTGTTAGTGAACACCCCAATTGCCTTGTGGAGTGCAGCAAAGCACAGCTTGCAGTGCTCTGGCAGAGGGATTTTCTTGGCACAGTCCTGCTGGCTGGGAATTCCAGTCTTTTTTGCAGATGGCAGAACCTGGAGAAGGGTTTCAAAAGAAGAGAGTCAGGTTGGTGGCACACACTGATTGTTTATTTAGTTGCTCTACCCTGAATTCTTCATGGGTTGCTTCACTTACAGGGAGTGTTGGTGGTTAATAGTCTCCAAATTGCCCCAGTAATTTTACTTTCCATAAAGTATTGGACTTTAAAGTGGTATTTTCTCCCTGTTTTTTCCCCCAAATATGGTTTTAATAATGGATAGCACAAAGTGCTGCAGCCAAACTTCAATCCTACAGTCTGGACTTGAAGCTTTCAGATGGCACATTGATCTTTAATGGACTTCAGGGTTATAAATGATTAAAATGCAATGTTGTCCCAGTACAAGATGTTTTTGAAGTACTAACTCTCACAGCCTTGTCCCAAGTGATGCACAAAGGGAAGAAAATAACTCGAATGGCTTTGAACTGGAAAGATTCATTCTGTGTGAGGAAAATAAGTGCTCGTCACAATTTCCAGCAGCAATTCTAAAGAAAAGTTCTGGGAAAATGAACCATGAGAAGCAAATAGATCTCTGTGCAGAGATATGTGTGTCTAAATGCAAATGACTTTGCATTTCAGCAAGCACAGAAATCAGGGACTAGGAGTCCTCCCAAGTAACAGCTTTCAAAATCAGAAGTACCTTTGGTTTAGACTCTGTGCTCTTCTTGGCTACTTCTTTACCTGAAATGAATTTCTGTGCCTGTTACAAATTAAAATGAGAGCAAAGTTGAAATGACTCACACAAAATATTTAAATATAGAAGTGTTTTTCTCTCATTTCACAGAGGAACAATTCCTTGCTCTGCAGCCTTCGTGTTATGATAATGAGGGTACATTTATTGGAAGCAACTGTAGGTTTTTTCCCCTAGGAGAAATGTAGTGTCTGATCCTGCAAGATCTGACTGAAACATCCACAAAATAACATTTCCCAAATCCTGGGAAATCTCCTAGGATTAATAACATTTCCTAAATCCTCGGGACAAGTCAGCATTTCTTTGGGAGACCAAGAGGGATGTTCTTAGTGGATATTTCAGCAGTTCTAAGGTGAATGATTGTAACAAACATCCAGAATTATTCTAGTGAATAAATCTGATCATTCCCAGTAAGAGTTTGATTTGTTACAGCAGAATTTTCTGTGAAAACAGAATTCTGAGTACACCACAAGTTGGAAAGTAACATCTCTTGTCTAGTCATGTCAGAGCCAAACACAATGGCAAGAAGAGAACTAGTAGGCAAAGGAGGAGAAAGAATTACTAACCCTCAGCTGAAACTTGTCTCCCAAATGAATTTAGAAGGGCAGGATGAGAAAAATGTGCAAATAAAATAGTGCTGATAGTTGATAGCTTCATATCAGCAAATGATGGAGAACATAGACAATAAAGCCCAGATTTACTGACCTGCAACTGGACATAATCACTGTCCTCAGTGGCATTTTCTTCCTGTCTCTCAGAAAGGACCTGACTCAGGCTGAGTTTATTAGGAACATTTCTCTGCGTTGACTCTATTTCTATTCTCCTTGGCAATGAGATTTGCTTTGCCAGTTTGTACTCTGGGTTCACTTTTGCTTGTTTCTCCTCTTGTTCCTTCTCATACTTCCTGAAGAGCAGCTTTCCATTGGCAATGATGATGGACACAAACCTCTTGATGTCGTCTGGGATCGTGCGAGCGACCATAACAAAGCGATCGAGGTCATCTGGGCTGCTCTGGGGCTTCCTGAGCACCAAAGCCTCCAGGGACCAGTTGCAGTGGTTTAGTGCCTCTCTTGTTTCTGTTAATATTTGGAAGGAGTTCACAAGAATTTCTAGCTGCTTTATAATCCTGCTCTGCAGGTTGTTATCTGTGAGGGAAGAGGCATTGCCCTTAATGACTTGAGCGAAGGTCAGAAATTCTCCCAGCGATACCTTTATGTGGTCAACTGCTCTGTGGATTTCTTCAAGGCTTTTCTCCAGGTGTTCCTGTAACCTCCACTTGCTGCTCACAAAGATCATTAAACTTGCAACTGAGCTGGACACACTGTGCTGCAACCTGGTCAGTGTCTCTATGGCCACCTCGAGGTCCAGTTTGATTCCTTTGACAGGATCTTCTGCTGGTGATGACACAGAAAACGACTCAGGAGAAGAGCTGGAGGAGGTGGAGTGTGTGCTGCTTCTGCTGTCCACACCAGAAGCAGACAAGTTGTCTTGTTCTAATCTGGCAACTCTTGAGAGCTGTGGAGCAGCACCATGAGCTTGGTCTTCAGAGCTATCCCTGTTGTTATCCATCTCTTTCTTGGAGTGCCCAGTGGTGGGCAAACCTTTTGGGATGTCATAAACATTCTCTTCAGAGATCTGATTCTCAGCCTTTGGAGCTGTAAGACTTGGGGGTGCTTCACAGCTACCATTCTGTGGCAAAAGGAGCACATCCCGTGAGGATGGAACATCATAAAGGTGGAGATCCGGGAATGTTAATTTCCTTTGTGTTGGTGGAATATCATATAACTGTGGATTTACACCTTTAGCTTCAGGATTTGTTGTTAGTCCCTTGTACCTGGCTGGAGGTATATCATACAGCACCTGGTTCTCCAGGGAATGCCCAGAAGGATTTTGGTTTGATCTTGATTTTTCAGGTGATACTGGAATGTCATAAATCCACTCTGACTTTCGAGGATTTGGCAAAGTGTTGTAATGGCCCCAACACTTCTTTTGAGGTTTATTTTCTGAAACATCAACTTCTCTTTTGGGAGGGACATCATATAACTGCAACAGAGCACAGAGGGTTATAAACCTTTTAAAACAAGAGATGAGAAACAAACCTGAACTCTCAGAGCACATAAACATGTACAACTCCACTGCTGCCAATGGAACTGCACCAGAAGCCTAGCCCACATTTTTACCTTCTAAAATGCACAGGCTACACATATATAAGGTAAAATACTTGGAGCATAGGAGATTAGCTCACACAGCAGTGTCCCCAGCCAGTGAAATCTTGATTTTCCAGTCTTCCCACCACCATTCCTATGCAAACCCTGACAAAACAAATCACCACCAAACACTCCTGGCTTTTCTTCATCTTCTGTGAATCTACATTTTTACTCAATACAGGTTTGCTAAGATGGAAACAGATCTTGCCCAAGGCCTTAGAAATATGTGCGTGCACAGCTGAAGGCCAAAGCTGGAAAGGGAAATGCATGACCAGTTCTTGTGTAAGAAAATCCAGACTAATGCTAACAGGTACTTCATGGGAGATCACACCTGGATGCCTTACAAGCACAACACACAACCATGGGGGAGTGCAGGGAATGACAGGAATGTGCAGCACCAGGAAACAACTGAAGGTTGTAGTGTAATACATATGTAATAGAGATTTCAAAAGGAACTGCTCAGGTCAGGCTTCCCCATTGGCAGGAGATGTGTGTGGGAAGAGGAGCCCAAGAGTGTTTCAGGCCAATTTTCAAATTGTCCATGAGCAAAGAATTCAAAATTTTGATTTTGAAAGCAATGATAAATCCTGTTCTCTGGAAGGAAATCTGCTCCCAGGCTGGGGCAGCTGGTGGGTGCAACTCCTAACAGCCATAGAAATTTTGGGAATGCCAACTCAGGTGAGCAATCACTAATGTATCAGCACCTACTCCTGGGTGGAACCAGTCCTGCTGTCACTGCTGAACAGGCTCTATGCAAGACTGGCTGCTGCAGCCCTGAGCCTACAGCACCTCTCTTTAAACCCACAAAACCTCAGATTTCCTGTGCTGGGATGGTCTACCCTGAGATCTCTCAGCCCTAGGTATGTGTGCTGAGGAGCCTGTCAAAGTCCTCTTGGATCCTAAATCCATTCAGGGAACATGAAATATTTGGCACTCAGCTAATAATTCCCGTGGAGATATTTTTCTTAGTTGAGACATTTCAGATCAGCTTTCTTCAGGACGGTCCTTGTCATACAGAGGGAAGAGATGGGAAACCTGACCACCCCCCAAGGCTGGTGTCACAGCAGTGACAGGTTATTCTCTGGTGTCCAACAAGTCTTACTTACAATTCCCACTGGTGAGTGCTTCTGGATACCAGCTCCTGCCTTATCTGGGCTGGATGGGATGTTGTACAGCTGCTTCTGCTCTGCCTGGAAGCTCTCCATGGATCTGACCAGCACAGAGCCCTTCCGTGCCGTGGGTGGAGTGGCACCACTCTGCTCAAAGGGAAAGAACAGGTTGAGTTTGATCCTTTTTAGAGTCCACTGAGGACTTGGGTGGAATCAAAGGCTTTCAGACTGTGTAGCTCCTGGTTTGGACAGCAAGGGGCAACCTCAACCTGCTGAGGAGCTGCTGGAGTTGTTCCACAGCACTAAGTGGGAAGGTGGTGGGCACCAGGTGGTGTGAGGCAGCACCACCAACACACCTGAGTCTGGGTCTGAGCAGGGATCAACCATTTACACAAAGTGGGTAACTCAAGGAAGTCTGTATAACTTGATAATAACTGGAGTGGGGTCAACCCTGCTCTGCCAGGTGCTGCCAGAGCAAGGTGTGGAGAGGCTCTGTGGATATGCTCTAGTCCCACTCACACCTTTGGGTGGTAGGAGACAGGATGGGTCTCGTGTCTGTCCCATCCTGATGACCTGCACAGGCAAGAGGCAGAGGAAATGTGCCATTCTCTCTGCCCAGGGAAGCATGGTGGCTCCAAGAGCAAGATCATGCAACAGGACACTTCAGTAGTAGATGTGATTGATGTTGTCTTCACCCCAAGAGGGTCATGGTTACATGACCCAATCCATGGCATGTTCTTGCCCAGGACAAGAGTGGTGTGGGTGACATTTAGTCTCTTCTTATATAGACACCCTTGTGACTCTGCTATAAACATCCTGAGGTCATCCCAATCCAATGACACAAAGCACATTTCCTCCCAAATTCCAAGGCAGAGAAGTTGCCACTCTGATACTGAGATTCCTTCTGTGCTTTGCAACTCAGTAGAGGTAAAACTGTGTTTGTTAGAAACAGACCAGATTTAAGACACGTTTCTGTGTGTTTCTAAGAAACTCCAGAGAACCTCTTTAGGTTTTGAACTTCCCTAAAAATAAATGACTTTCTGCCAGATTTTACAAAGAGTGAACAGGGAAACACTAGAATTTGGTAGAATAAATGTATTCTGAGGTTGTTCAGGATCCAAGGTGCAGGGAGGGACATGCAGGACTGACCTGGGTGAGCAGGGACTCCCGGCGCTGCGTGGAGGGAACATCATACACCTCAGTCCTGATGTTTGGGGCTGAAGCACGAGATGCTCTTGGGAGGGTAAACAGGTGCTTAGAGGGAGAGAAAAATCCATCATGAGAAAGCTGCAGTGAGCAGGAAGCTCAGGAAATCTTTAGGAACTCATTTAGCTGGATAGGCCATCGCTGGAGTAATTGCTCTTAAGCAGTTAAACTCTTCACTGATGGTGAGACAGGAATTGACCTTACAAGGACTATGCTATTTTCCTCCCATAGTTCTCCTTTTCCAGCATTTCTCCTGCATTTTAGTTAAGAACTGGCACATACAAATCAAAGATGATTTGTCTTACTAACTATGGAAAAGATTTGGAGAAAGTCCAGCCTCACTTATCACTTAGATCTTTAGACTACCCACCCAAAAGCAGAACCACTAGAACAAGGAAGTGAGGAAACTTCTATTTCTCCAGGCCCACAGAGCCACGAGGTCAAGCCACATTTAGTGTAAGAGCAGCAAAGAGGTGCAGGCTGAGGTGTATTGTTCTGTACTTAGGAAATACCAACTCATTTGGAAGGAGCAAACATAGTTACCTCAATGTCCTATCCAACTCCATAAACAGAGAAGTCTGAAATGGGAATTACATCCTTTGTCTGTGGCAAATTACAGACGAAATCTCCTGTTTGAGAAGCCACAACAAGATCTGTGGAACAATTAGTTAAGGTCCCAAAATATGAATATTGGGTTAGGACTTTGTTTTATTAAATCAATCGCCAAAACATGGAATTTTGAATCAAATTTGAATCAAATTCAAATGAAATTTGAATCAAATGGAGCACAGCGAACTGGAGATGAGATATCACAGTAAATGGTTTAAAATTGGAGGTGGTGATCTCCATGTAAGTGTTGCAGTGACTAAAATTAAGGGGAATGTGGTAGAGGAACAAGCCTCCAGCTTTGTATAACTGCCTGCTGCAGCTCTCTGAGAGCTCCTTGATCTCACCTGAAGAAGGGGAATGAGGAGTGAAGACAAATTCTCTTAGTGCTCTCTGATACTGAATTATAGAATCATGGAATGGTTTGGGTTGAAGAAACCTTAAAGTTCATCTTGTTTGACCCCCTGCCATGGGCAGGGACACCTTCCACCAGCCCAGGCTGCTCCAAGCTCCATCCAACCTGGCCTGGAACACTCCCAGGGATGGAGCAGCCACAGCTGCTCTGGGCAACCTGTGCCAGTGCCTGAATATGAGCATCTTGCTTGAAAACAGAGGCATAAAGAGACTTGCCCCAGCCTTGGCAGTGTCCAAAGCCAGGTTGGATAAGGCCTTGAGCAACCTGGTCTAGTTGGAGGTGCCTCTGCCCGGGGCAGGGAAGCTGGGACTAGATGATCTTCCAGGTTCATTCCAGCCCCTTAACACTCTGTGATTCTGTGGCTTCCTAGAGCAAAAAGGGTAAAAGATAAGTGGCATCAAGAAATCCATCCTTAGCCCAAGCCTGTTTGCAGATGGACAAAACTTAGCATAGAGGAAACTCACAGGATATCACATCTTACTACTCTGAAAGTCCTTTCAGTGACAGCAGAACAAGAAGGTGCCTTGTGGTCAGGCAGGAGCAACAAGGCTCCTCCAAAGGGTGAAAGCATACAGGCTCTGAGGGGTTTGGTTTGGCTTCATTGCTTTCAGTCAGCTCAAAGACTCCCAGTGGCTTCACCCAGCTGCTCAGGGGACAGCTGAGTATGCCAGGAACTTTGCCAGTTGTCCCCCAGGATGTATGTGGGGCAGCCCTGAGTGCTGTGGTTCTTTCTGCACTCACACAGGCTGTTCTCCCCCAACCTCCCCGTGCATCTGGGCATGGATTGGGACCACCACCCTGCAGTTGGTGTGGGAACAGCTGGGACATTGTGCAAGAGGCAGCTCAAACCTGAACCTTTAGATTATAAACTCAGGCTGGGACATTTCTTTTTCCTTCTCAGAGCAGACAAGGCTTAGGTATATAAACTCATGAAACAGCAGAGAGAGGAATAGCCAAGGAGCTCTTCTGTTGGGCCATTCATCCAGATTAAGAATCAATGACATTTTCCACCTGGTTTGCTAGCACAACATGGAAAATTTGTACCAATCTCCCACTCAGATCACAAATGGCTCCCTTAGGGTCAGGAATGTGGAGAAATCAGACCACAGCAAGTGCAAAAGGGGTTTTGTAGCTGTTAGTCTGAACTTGCAGTCCTGGTGACTACACAAAGGTTGTATATTGCAGCTGCAGTGCTGAAAATCAGATTTCAGCCACCAGGGATGCACTGAGTTTGTCAGTTTTCCAGCATCCATCTGCCACACAGCAGGAAACAGCACCTTGTTTCCATGACTTGCCTTCCAGCACAGTGGGGGGAAACGTGGCTGACTGAGCCCCCATAAATCAAGGGATCATTAAATCAGCCTAAAAGACTATATAGCTCAGGGCAGAATTTCCTTCCTACACAGAATAAAGAGACACCCAGGGCTGAAGGGCTCATGGAACTGAACAAAAACTTGAGCTCCCTCCCCACTTGCTCTATTTACCTTTAATTAAAAAAATTCCTTGTTCATTTGATGCAGAGAAAAGCACAAGTTTTTGATCTTAAGACACTTGATGCAACAGGTAGTCAAAAATTTTATGTCCCATGTACATATTTCATTTGGATGCCAAGCGCAAGGAGCTGGGAGAGAGAAGAGGCCAGACCAGGCAGCTGTAAGGAAACCCTGGAAAACCAGGGTCTCCTCCATAACTGGGGGCACTGGTGGCTGCTCTCATCCTGTGCACCCTGGTCAAGGAGAGAGAAACTGATTGAGGCCTCACAACCAAAGCCTGTGCCCTCTAGCATGACTAAGAGGTGCTGCTGCTTTGCAAGCATCACAACAGCCTTGAGTAGCAGAAGAGAGGCAGCAGAAAACAGGAGAAACTAGACCAAAACAGCAATCACCCAGCAAAGGGTTTTTTCTCTTTGAAATAATGAATCCTGTTGCTGTGTAGATGGATGCAAACACCCCACACGTGCCCAAAGGACCCTGGGTGGGTGGTGCATGCTGTGGTCCATCAGAGCAGAAAGTTCTGCCTCTTGTTACTTTAACTCTGGGGAAGGTTTGTAAATAATTTCTACATTCTTCCTAACAAATGGTATATTCTTTACTTCCTGCCCTATTTTACAGCTGCCTTAAATTGTCAGAAAGGTGAAGGATTATGGAATACAGAGAGACTCTTATGTTGCTCAGAGCATCATTTCCCACCTAAATGCAGTAAACTGTAGTAGAATTAATGGGAGTTTCCTAAACACCATCATTCTTTTGCTGCAAACTCTACTGAAATATCACAGCTTTACTATTTCCCCACTCCCAGTGATGGTTTTAATAACAACATCTGCTACATTATGAGTTGCTTATATTCTTACCTGGTTTTTCAAGCTTTTGGTCCTTTCACTGAGCAGCTGTGCAGCCAAGGCTGGCACTTGATATATTGCTTGGGCAGGTGTGGCAGACACCCTAGCTGGAGATTTAACCCACCCTTCCATCTTCTCATAGGTGGACGACACGGTGTTCTTGGGGCCAGAGGGCACCTGGTAGATGTTTTGTTGGCTGGTTGGCAGCTCTGCGGGGTCGCTGCGGGTGGAAGGAAGCAGCAGCACAGCTGGAGAGGCAGAGAGGAGCTGCAGGCGGTTGGCAGGGGCCAGGCCCTGCCTGCCATGGAGGGAGCACTTCCACCAGCCCTCACTGCCGATGATGTTTTGGTCCAGCACTGTCAGGATGTCTCCCTTGCGGAAAGCCAACTCATCTGAGCACTCAGCCTTGTTGTCGTACAGAGCCTTGGCCAGGGTGTTCTGGGGACAGGGGAACACCAACATTGTTACACTCACAGAAGAGCTAATTACCTTCTGGTTGGGGGTTTCTCCCCACCCTGATTTCGTTTGGATTCAAGCCCACCTGTTGGCACATGAAACAACATTTCTCAGGGCTTTGGTTTCAGTGAGTTTTCAGCCTGTGCCTTCCATGTTCAGTGCAGTAAAGAAATAGATATAGCAACAGCAACAATCATCATCATCATCATGCAATCATCATCATCATCATGCAATGTTTCCTCACCACTTTTCCCCCGAGGCTCTCGAACGCAATTATCATCATCATCATGCAATGTTTCCACACCACTTTTCCCCCGAGGCTCTCGAACACCACTGCTAACCTTCATTATTTAGACTTATTATACTAGACTTATGTATGTTAGACTTACAAACTAAACCACAAGTAGTTCTATCTCAACATGAGGAAGAAGTTCCCTCCATGGAGGTGGCAGAGCATTGGACAGGCTGCCCAAGGAGGTCACAGAGTCTTCCTCTCTGGAGACATTCCAAACCCACCTGGACATGTTCCTGTGTCACCTGGCCTGAAACACTTCCAGGGATGGAGCAGCCACAGCTTCTCTGGGCAAACCTGTGCCAGTGCCTCACCACCCTCACAGAGAACAATTCCTTCCTAATATCCAACCTAAGCCTCCTCTCTGTCAGTGTGGAGATGACAGTTAAATAAATGAAGAGTAGTAGCAGTAGGTAGCTTTATTCACTCAAGATATTTGTGCAGAAGGTAGAGAAAGCTGTGGCTGTAGGGTTTTTTTCCAGCACAAGAGAGAATTTGCTTTCAGCTTTACAATGGGACTGTGCTGCCCAGGCAGCAGGACACTGCCTGTGTCTCAGCAGGAGCTCCTTATCAGAAAGTGAAGTAATGTCCAAAGAGATAACACCCAAATAGGAAACGTGATGCCTTGTATTTTTGACCAGAGCATTTGCTGCAAAGCAGCAGCTGGTGTGAAGCTGCAGGAGAAGAAGCCCAATTTGTCAGCTCAGCTGGTGCAAAGGGCTTGTTGTTGGCTGCACACACTTCTTGGTCAGGGTGGCCACGAACAATGGCCTTTCTGTGAGGCCTGGGCTTATCCATCAGCAGCTGCCAGGGATGGACAACAGCCCCATTTACCTCTTGTCCCAGCCTGGCTTTTGCCTTGGACATGGCACTCCACTTTGGATGTGGACAATGCCAAATGCTGAAGCCAGGAATCCCATCACAGAGCACAGCCTGGGGCCAGCCTGGGATTCACATGTTGCAACTGTGGAAAACAAAGGAAACCAGCCAACTTTCCCTGTTATTCATCAGCACTTCTAGCTCCTTGTTGTTGGATCATAGAATTTTAGGGGTTGTAATGGACCTCAGAGATGATCCAGCCCCAACCCCCTGCCCTGGGCAGGGACACCTCCCACCAGAGCAGGTTGCTCAAGGCTCATCCAACCTTTGAACACTGCCAGGGTTGGGGCAGCCACAGCCTCCCTGGGCAACCTGTGCCAGTGTCTCACCACCCTCACAGGTTAAATTTAAACTCATACCATAGAAATCACAAAGCTTTTCATCAGAGGGATCCCTTGCTTGAAGCACAGAACACATTCCTTTGGTTTTTGCCAATAAAACTGTGCCTGCAGCTCAGCCAGAGACCAATCCAAAGCAGAGCACAGTGGTTCAGGCTTGGAAAGGTGATCTCCCATTTCTGGAGCTCAGACTGGGGCATGTGGGCTCACATCTGTAGGCAACATGAACACTCAAGAACCTCAGAAATTGCAAGTCAAGCAGGAGATTAAAAAAGCTATAGACAGAAGAATCATAGGACACTCTGGGAAACCTGATCTAGCTAGAACAGATTTGTTCATAGATCATCATAGCCCATCCATAGGGCTGGAACTAAAAAATTAAGACCATAACATCACTTAAGGGATGTGATGGAGACAAGCCCCAACCTCCAGATTACAGAGCATGAATGAACTGGGAGATTGTCAGATCTCTGGCAATCAGATCAGTGAAGCTCTCAAATAGGAGAGTATAAAACAAGACAAAAGCCAAAGAGTTTTCCAGCTAAGGCAATGCTAAATAGTAGTTTTTATAAGACAAAAGTTCCAGGAGGTGAGTGCTTGATCTGACAACTCTAAGGTTCATCAAATCTGTCTCCAAAGAGATGGAGTGAGGTCATCTGTCCAGGCTCTGCCTCATCTAACGTGGCTGTTTGTCTGGAATTGGGCTCTGTCTCCACTCTCAGCTCTCAGGGACATGTGTGAGGCCTCACTGGGGCAGCCCCTTCCTATCATGTAAGCAGAAGCATCTCTGACCTGCCAGGGACTATAAACAACTCTGCATTCCCAGGGTCGCAGAGACCTTCTGGGCTGCTCAGCTAGGAGGAAGCTGTGCCTTGAGGCCAGTGGGATGTGCATTTTCTCCCTGCTGTCAGTGGAGAGGAAGCTGGAGAGGAAGCTGGATGTCCAATGTGTCATCCACAAAGTGCCATCAGGACCAGCTGTGTGGAGTTCTTCAGTGCTGTATGTGACCTTGTTAATGTGCCCTACAAAACCCAACATGGACTGAGCACTAAAGCAGCACAGATGAGATCAAAGTGGTTTTCCTTTGACGTTTGTTGTTTCATCCCCATCAGCAGCCCTGAAAAAAACCTCTCCTAAGACAAAGAGCATCCTAACAGCCACATCTTGCCCCATGAGAAAGCAGCTTGGCAGGCAGAGCTGTGACTCTTCTTGCACTGAGCAGATTTTAATGAGGCAATGACAGAGCACAGAGCTAGAGAACAGAGGTTGTGTCCCCTGCAGTCCCTTCCCCAGGCACTGAGCCCCCCAGAGCCCAGGGCTGCCCTAGGCAATGCAAATGGGTCACCCACTGAAGGGATTCAGTGCCAGGACTCTGCTAACAGCTCCAGTTAAAAGTTCTGGTGCAGCCTAAGTGCATCTCCTTTTATTGGAGTGTGGATCAGATGTTGAGAGAGGAATTCCTCCCACAAATTGGACTTTTTACATCTATTGTTTGTGTGTCCTTATGCAGCAACACTCCCACTATGAAACCTAACAGCCCTTGGGACTCTTCGGAATGAAAGCTGTTAGCTCATGTTTATTAATGAAGAGAGGGGCAATGTTAATTAAGAGGCAGTGAAGCTGCTCAGTGCATAGTTCCATAATGTACAACCCTATAACCTCAAACTGGGAGGACTCACAAAGTGACATCTGTGTTCTATAGACACAATAGATATTTATGCTAAGGAAAAAACACCTAACATCTCCTGAGCCCTCTCCTATCCCAAGCTCAATCCTCAGTCTATAGGGCTATGCAACAGAAAAAAAGTGATAGAAAAATCCAAGTCATACCCAGTGACATATACCAAGTGATAATTTGAACCTCTTGCCTGCAACACTGTCCAAATAATTTCTCTATCTCCCTCTCCCCACTCAGTTTGTGTCTGGAAATGTCAGTTCACTACCACAGACTACCTGATGTGACACACACCTCACAGCATTTCAACCACAGAAATAGTTTTCATTTATTGTCTTAAGTTTGCTTTTAAAAAAACCAAAACCCCAAACTATTGATGTCATGTAAATAAAGAGATAGTTTTAACCGTGGGAGTTGTTGTGGATCAAGAAAAATATTTCTCAGCTGCATTTTGCACTTAAAAATATCCCTGAGCACTTTGACTGCAGGAAAGTGGGGCTTAAAATGTTTGGGAAGGAAAAGATAGAGCTAAGGGCAGCGAGTAGTGTTTGCTAAACTGTTCTGTCCATGCATCAGTGACACCTCTGACATGTTTACAGAGAGGCTTCCAGTTAATCCCTTCACCTCTGAGCAAAGTTGGGGAAATAAACATTCCCCATAGCCTGTTAGCTGGGAACAGGCTGCCCAGAGAATTCCCTTTTGAACAGCAAATCGTTTAAGTTTTGCCCAGTTCAGTTAATGTGGAGAGTTCACAGAGAAAAGGAGAATTTACCTTCAATGCTCAGCTTGTTCTCTACCTGTATCTGCCTAACCTCTGGCCACGAGCAGCATTTTCTGTCACTTGCACAAGGTCTTTCTACTGAGATTTTGGGGTTTTTTTTTTGGTATGTTTCAAAAAACAAATGTTCTGGTACACAAGGTCTTTCTACTGAGATTTTGGTTTTGTTTTTTTTTTTTGTATGTTTCAAAAAACAAATGTTCTGGTCATATAGGAGTTTTGTGTGAGGAATGAACGGCAGGACTTGCTTTCCTTGCCTGTCCAACAGTTAATTGATTTTTGGAGGGTAGAACCAGGTGCTAATCAGCAATTCTGAGTGGTCAGATCAGGTTTTGATAACATAAAGCACAACCACTTTAAAATCCAAGCAGAACCACTGAGAAATCCTGGAGCTTCACCGCAGTCAGAGCTGCAGAGCTGGAAATCACAATCTGGTTCTGTTCATTCCCCCCAAACTCTCTTTTCTCCACGAATGTAGCTGATCACATTCTAGCTGTGCTAAACCCAACAGAGCTGAGTGCAATCAGCATTTCACACCCTTCATAGCATTTTCACACCTGTGTTCCCATGTCCAAGCTCAAGGGAGAGTAAACTGCTCCTTCCTGATGTTTCAAACACTGACTCTGCGTGGAGTTCTGGGATTTGGGTTCTCCTCCTATCCAAAGTTTTTTTCCCATATGCACCTGATTACTTCACTTCTTCTGACTTTTTTAAACCTTTGAGCATCTTAATTACATTTTGCTACATTTATTTCCAAGCATGGATTTACAGATAAAGCTTTGATGGTGCAAGTGTTCTCCTGATTCCTCAGCAGTAGATACATCCCAGCCATTCCTTAGAGCACGGTCCTTATCCTCCTTCCTCTCCCAGCCTAGGGAACAGGCAAAAAAATTCCTAGGGCAGGTTGCCAGGAGCGAATTTCTGATGGATAGGGAGTGCTGTGTATTCCTAGCAGGACAGGCTGCTGTCCCTGCATCCCATCTGAGCTGCAGGGCTGCTCCTGCTGGTTCCCTGCCTGTGGCAGAAGGGCCAGTGAGCAGAGACAGAGGTCAGGGTGAGTGTTCTGTGGGTGTTCTCTGACTCACACTGAATCAGCAGCCACACCACAACTCCCAAACGCTGTGGCTTCCTGCAGCTCTCTCACTGCACTTATCTGCCCAAGAAATCAATTCTGCTTAATGACAGCCCTTTTGGACCAAGCTGCTTTTAGCTGCAAGGGTAATATCTCTCTGGGCAAAAGAAGTGGATGGTTTTCCACCTGCCCTAATCAGTAGTGCATCACTGCTCCCGGGTGGCAGCTGGATGCTGCCTCTTCCCCATGGTT